TCTTCGTAGGCCTCGAGCCAGATCAGAGCCAGTCAAGAGTGAGCCCCTTTTTTATTGTAAAAACAACATCATACAGTAGCATTAAGCTGGTATTCTGTCAGAACGTGGTCTTTCCCCGTTGGAGCTGACCCATTTGAGCCTCAATCACAGTATAGCTGCATCATAGTTCTACCATGTTAAATGTCGCTCTACTACGTTAAACTTGGCTCTATCACGTTAACACATTTTATAATATACCCGTTGTACTACTCCGACGTTTTTAAACCGTAATTAATGATGATTAAAATTCCGATGACCTCCTTTACCTACACAATATATGCTAAAAAGCATACATCGTCATCTGCATAAACACTGCTTTACGGTACAGTCAAGAAGTAAAATATTAAAATTTTTGCCCGACATGTTAAAACGGTTTTATTACCATCTTTAAAAATAAAAAATAAAAACGTAGTAGTCACTCGCGGTAGAAGTGAAACCTTGAGAAAAACGCTGTAAACTGTATTCTGTTTCATTCACTCGCAGGCTAAATCTTATACATGTGTATGTTTGTCTCTGTCTAGTGTCGGTTTTCGATTTCATCGAGTTTCATATTGCAACGATTCTAAAGAAGTTGTCACTTGAAAAAAGGCAGTGGTCGAATCGCGGATTCGAACCTTTTGAGATCGCGGTCAAAACTGTATTCTATCTCAATCTCTCGCAGGCTAAATCTAATAGATGTATATATTTGTCTCTTTTTAGTGTCGGCTTCTCGTTTCATCGAGTTTCAAATTACAACGATTCTAAAGAAGTTGTCATTTGAAAAAAGAAAGAAATCGAATTGCGGATTCAAACTTTTGAGTTCGCGGTCTACGCTGTATTCTATCTCATTCTCTCGCAGGCTAAATCCAATAGATGTATATGTTTGTCTTTTTTTAGTGTCGGCTTTTCGTTTCATCGAGTTTCAAATTACAACGATTCTAAAGAAGTTGTCATTTGAAAAAAGAAAGAAATCGAATTGCGGATTCGAACTTTTGAATTCGCGGTCGACGCTGTATTTTTTATTATAGGATAGGGTGACAAACGAGCACACAGTCCACCTGATGGTAAGTGGTTGCTGTGACCCATAGATATCTACATCTATCCTCATTTGCGAAACAAAATGCAGATGCGTCGTCACCCGTGAGGACTAAGATGGAATGCCTCTTTTCTAGTAAAATGAGTCTCCCGTTCTCTACACTCACCATAGGAAACACAGCAGTGTCAAGCTGCCATTTTACGCTGGTATTCTGTGAGAGCGTGGTCGAGCCAACCCACTCGTGTTACAACTATACTACTAATGTAGCTGCAGCATGGCTCTACCACGTATATTCTTTAATACTCTTGAATCATTCTGCCTACTAATGAAAACTGTATCAAAATCCGTTCGTAGTTCAAAAGATCTAAGCGTACAGACGGCGGGAAGCGACTTTGTTTTATACTACGAGTATGTAGAGATACGTGTTACATATTATGTACAGATCCATTCACGTTTCTCACTTACGAAAATCCCAACTTTGCAATCAGATCTACAACACCCAATGCAGAAAGTTAGTCAGATATAGCGTCATGACGTCACGTCTCGATTACATGTACTTCGTGGCTTCGACGTTGTAATTACCAGACAAGCGCGAGACGCGGTCAGCGATAGTGAAAGGGGTGATCGTCGGCAAATCTTCTATTCTTCTATAAGTTAGTGATTAGTCCCCTTTCTATATAAAGTAACCCTAAGCTCTTCCTTTATAACTTAAGGAACTATTCTATCTAGATATTTCTACTTTTTATATTCAGTGTCATATAATACTCTACCAAAATATTATGCTTGCGACTGTACAGTATCCACTTTCCGACACTTGTTACGCTAGAGATGCCTAACGGAGGCCTATGTGCTCGAAACTAGCGACTGAGTCATAAGCGGAAAACGGAATTGTAATATCTTTCTTTTATCTTTCTTTCCTTCTTTCTAATAGAATTAATACTATGGTTATAACTTCAGAATAACATGAGAAATTGACAACTGTTACAACTGTTTACACGTGGTAGAGCCATACTGCAGCTATATTAGTAGTAGTAGTATAGTTGTAGTACGAATGGGTGGGCTCGGCCGGGGAAGGACCACGCTCTCACAGAATACCAGCATAAAATAGCAGTATATCACTGCTATGTTTCGTATGGTGAGCTTAGTCCTTACGGGTGACAACGCATCTGCATTTTGATTCGCTTGTCACCCTATCTTATAAAAATCACTGACAACTATTACCATAAGTATTATGATCCGTGTTTGACTACTATTCCATTTGAAGCCAAATATAGTAAAGTTCCCTAGACACTGACAGCATATTCCATTCGATTTCAAAATACGATATTCGACATTGTATTGATCTTATTGCATATTGCATAGATTATATAACGAAAGTAAGTTGTAATACTTAAGCTGCATGTATCGTAGTAACGCATTCGTGTTATCCTCATATACATCAACATCGTTGTGAAAAGTTCGTTTGGCAGAAAGACTGTCGGTAACCTCTCGCAGATTAAAGGATTTTATTACGATAAACTATGCTTGCATGACTTTACTCGACGCACAGACATCAAAGGTAACGCACGTGTCGGCGAAAATTAGGTATCAAAGTCAAATCCAAATATTTTTATTCAATATTAACTTTTACGAATCACTTTTAGCAAGTCAAATGCTACGGCATATTCGGTGTGGGTTGAGTCCAGATTAGAGTAACAACAAAATTTAAGAATTTCATCACAAGACGAGGGCGATAATAAGGAACGCGAAACAGCCGGGTAAAACCTGGAGCAAATAATTATTTGACGCCGTATAATACAAACATTCCGGGTATATAAAATGTACTCTGTGATACAGAGCGACCACGTCGTCCATGTTTTTTAGCGTCTCTTTGCAATATGTGAAGCCTCAGCATAATAAATGAAACTGCAACATGGCATTTTAAAAAAGACTCCAGAATTTCTTACTGGTTCCTCTCTGAGATGGTCTTGTTTTTGCAAACCGGTGTAGACCAAAATTTTTAACTTTAACTTTGAAACATAATTTTTATTTCTTATTTTGGATAATAAAGAAAATTTTATTTTTATTTCAAGTGCAGGACCGTGACTTGTGGATAACTATTCTGATCGCGTAACTACAATTATTGTAATAAATTGATCGTAAGAGTAACAATTCTACAAATAAAATAAAAACGCTCGTCTCTTTCATCTTGCGCCACACGTCATCAATGTTTAAAGGCACTCGTGCTAGCACTATTGCAGCGCCGATGTCAAACGAAAGCGTCTGTATGCAGTGTTGAATAAACACGCTAACTAGCTATTAGTGGTGGTATTTCTACCATGTTTTGATACATGTGGCCGCTTTTTAATAGAAGTAACGGTTTCAAACAAGCACACGCTTCGCCTTATCTCAATTTCTATCTCTACACCCATACTCGATTAAGAACTCATAGGTAGTAGAACTTCATTTCTGCCTGGGCTTCTCTGGGAATGAACTACTCTGTTATCTATTTCTGGCGCCGAATTGTGCTTGCACAGTGCAACAACACAGTGCTTGCACTGCTGTGTTCCAATGTGGTTTCATACATAAAAGTAGCCTATGTTATCAGTCAGCGAAAGTCCCGTCAAAATCGGTCATGCCATTTCGGATATTAGTCGGAAAAAACAGACAGAGAGTACTACTACTAACTATTTTTTTTAAATTGTTGGAACGAAGTTCCTTAGGAGAAAAATGTAAGATTTTTTCGCCACGACCCCTTCTAACCTAGTGTAGACGGCCTTGGTGGCTATAAGGAAACAAGATGGAATAATATCCATCTCTCTCGCATTTCTTCTTATCTTGTCATGAAAGAAATATTATTTTTATTTTAAATGACGCTTCATTTGAATAGACGCTAGTAATTTATTTATTTGTATGTGTTAATCAATAATATAATACGTTTATCAATAATAATATACTACGAAAGGAACTTCGTTCCAACCGAGTGTTCCACGACACTCACGCATGTTTTTTTTTAAGTTATTACTACCGTATATACTTCAATATGGATTTAGTAAAAAGCTGTTATTTTGTCATTACAAACATACACTTCAATTTTATTTATTTGTTATCTCAGCTCGCTGCTTGAGCCTTATATGTAAGATTAGGTAGAGCCCTCAATCCACGCCGACCGAACTATCGTAATTTCCTCTTCTACCAACATCATGCTTATTTGGTGTTATTAATTGGATTCGTTTATCTTTCCTAACTGGTCATTATCGTCGACACAGCAGTATCTAGTACTATATGTCAATGTTTGTATAGATATATAGATGACCCCTAGAAGGGCGCTGATGAGGTGCTAGCCTAGGACGCTGTCGATGTTTAATCCGCCTCTGGTAATAGGTACCAACTGCATTATGGTTGCTATGCGGCACGTTTCCTATAGTAAGTTATTTTGAGTAAAATTAAGAAACTGTTTGTCTGGTAACGAGGTACTCTGACTTTGTCCTCATAGGTAAACAACGCATGTTTTTTTTTAAATATAATGCTGCCAGATGGTAAGTGGATGCTGTGGCTTATAGACATCTACATTTATCCTCAATCAACAATCAATATACAGATGCGTTGTCACCCCTGAGGACTAAGATGGAATGCCTCGTTTCCAGTAAAAAGGGTCTCAAGCAGCAGGCTGCAGCAGGACCGAACTGCGATTTCACGCTGGTATTCTGTGAGAGCGTGGTTCTCACCTGATCGAGCCGACCCATACGTGCCACAACCATAATATAGCTGCAGTGTGGCTCTACCGTATATAAAATGCATGGGAATTTTGGTTCTTATTCGTTGATAGACGTAAGTGTGTTGAAATACAGCTAGTACTTACTATCAGCTGGACTGCGTGCTTGTTCGTCACTATACTAAAAAAAAAACAGTGGACAGTGAACAGGTTTATGTGACAGGTAGTAAATAATTACACTCTATTACTTACCGTCTTAAATCCTCTGTACATGACTCTAATTTCCTGTTTAGAAAATTTTGTCTGTCTGCAGAGCTCCTCCAAAGCAACGGGAATTGGTTTAGGGGTTCTACTCGGTTCCAACTCATACGCATGCTCCTCCACCGGCGATTCTGGAGGAGTGGCCATTGTCAAAAAATATCACTAGCGCAACACTAATACATTTCTCCAACAAAATCACTGTTATTTAATAGGTATTTCGCAATATTTTTAATCTGTAATTTATCACTTAGTTAGTTAGTTACTATATATATATTTTTTTTAATTTAGAGGAATTTTTGGCGAGATATTTTTTTTAAATTGACAGTCAGAGGTTATTGGTTAAAGTTCAAATTTAATTGCAATTTAAGTATATATTTGAATCTTAATCGGCTCTTAGAAGAAATGGATGGCACGTAGGCAGGAATTCGAATCTGAAACAAACAAAGACAAACATTAGAATATGAGGTAATTAATTGCTAAATATAAATTTACTTTATAAGTGGCACAGCCCTGATTTGTATGAGGTAGAGCCCTGCTTTTTTACGTGGTAGAGCCATGCTGTGTTTATATTACGGATGTAGCATGAATGGATTGATTCGGCCGCGGAAGGACTACACTCTCACAGAATGCCTGCATAAAAGAACAGCTTCATGCTGCTGTGTTCCGTTTGGTGAGTGTAGAGATTCGGAGAACCTTTTCACTGAAACGAGGCATTCCATCTCAGTCCACAGGGGTGACCACTCATGTGCAATTTAATTCTTAATCGAGCACAGGTGTAAATGTCAATGGATCACAGCATCCTCTTACAACCAGATGGACTTTGAGTTCGTTTGTCATTTTTATCTATAAAAAAATGTCAACTTGACTATACAATAATCAGATGGTCAGGTACTAACATTGCCCAATGAATTACTATCACGTGGACTGTCTGCTTGTTTATCGCTTATGCTGGCCTGCATCACGTCTCATTCTGATCTTTTTTTGGTAATGTACCATCACGGTTGTATTTTTGCCAGGTCAAGTTATAAGAAGTTGTTGCGCTGGGGGCTGCGGGTTCGAATCTCGCACGGAACAAGTATTTGTATGGCCTACAAATAATTGTTCCGGGTCTGGATGTTTGTCCTTGTGCAATTTATGTTTGTAAACTGCCCCCACGACACAGGAGAAAATCCTAGTGTGGGGGTGACGTTTTTTAAATAAGAATAAGAAAATAAGAAGTGAACCTTTTATTTAATTCGTAAAAAAAATTTTTTGGGACATTTTGACGGCAACTTTAGCGAGCAGACATTCGATGACCATCTCAAGGCGCCTAAGCAGACAAAATAAATTGAGATTCACATCATCAATAATTAAAAAAATAAAATGTCACTAATAATTCAAATGTGAAGACATTTAATACACAAAATCGCACCACTTTTACGTATCAAAGTCTACTTAAAACCATTATTTACAATAATACAGCAATCCGCCAACAGTCAAGTTCCCGCAAAAACTTCGTCATACTGTGTTTTTTTTTATAGGATCGGGTGACAAACGAGCACACAGTCCACCTGATGGTAAGTGGTTACTGTGACCCATAGACATCTATATCTATCTCAATAAAGACTCAAGATACAGTGGCGTTGTCACCCGTGAGGAGTAAGATGGAATGCCTCTTTGCCAGTAAATTTGCTATTATTATAAAGCTGTTATTTTACGCTGGTATTCTGTGAGAGCGTGGTCCTTCCCCGGTCGAGCCGACCCATTCGTGCTACAACTATACTACTAATATAGCTGCAGCATGGCTCTACCACGTAGAAAATTTATATAAATATATTGTTTTTAATTTATAGTGGCATTCCAGTATACAATAATTAGTGCCAGTAACTTCGTCATTTTGAAACAATGAATCGGGATATTTTAAATCAGATTAAACTAGAGCTATTAAATTATCTATGGTGATAGCCGATTTCTACCGTCTTCAAATGGGAAGAGGTACTCAATTCGACTGTATGTTTATTTATGTGTGCTACCTCATAACTTTTTTCTGGGTGAACCGATTTTGATGGTTTTTTTTTAATTGAAAGCTGATGCTTCTCATGTGGTCCATCAAAGTGGCTGATCAAGGTCTGACTAAGAGTTGTCCCTAATAATTTATATTGAAGTCGGTTGTACAAAATTTTTAATTTCACCACTTGCATTAGTAGAAAATCCTTGGAAGACAAAACCATCAAAATCATAGAATATGATATAAAGTTAAAACCGACAAACAGATAGATAAATCTATCACCCTCATACGGTCATATAAAGAAATATTTTTCTGTAATTTAATCTTATTTAAACATACAGTATTAAGTCGTACCTATCTCTACTGTCCTACAAAAGAAACGGCAAATAATATTTCGCGCGAACCGGCGACACGATTAATAACACTGTAATCTAATTCTGTGTTGCGATTTCGAACGCAAATTGGCGTGGCGCCATCTTGCGCACCGTTTCCCGCCAAAACATTTACGAAATGCTATCGTCCTATGATAATTTAGGCGTTTGACACGTCGTTAAAATTTTACGCGGTATTAATCATTGTAGTGTAGCTGTTTCAATACTTATTTAATTATGATTTACTATGTACATCCTGCAGTTTAGTGGCTGTTTATGAGAATCTACTAGCTCATATCATCCCGTGGGTGTTGTAAGAGGCGACAGAGACTTTTTGATGACAACTCAAAATAATAAACAAAAATCCGGCAAAGTGCGAGTCGGACTCGCGCAAGAAGGGTTCCGTACCAGCGGTAAAACACGTTTCTAGTTGGGAGCCCCCTTTAATTATTAATTTATTTTTATTTTTCTGTGAAAATTTCAACTGTCTATGTTTTTTTTTTTATAGGATAAGGATGAAAAACGAGCACACAGTCCACCTGATGGTAAGTGGTTGCTGCGGCCCATAGACATCTACATCTATTCTTGATTGCGAATCAAAATGCACAACGACTAAGATGTAATGCCTCGTTCCCAGTAAAAAGGGTCTCCGGTTCTCTACACTCACCATACGAAACACAGCAGCGTTAAGCAGCTATTTTACAATGGTATTCTGTGACAGCGTTGTCTTACCCCGGTCGAGTCGACCCGCCCGTGCAACAACTATACCTATGTATACCTACGACTAATATAGCTGCAGCATGGCTCTATCACGTAAAAAACCTACCTATATGTCCACCTATTACGGATTATGAGATATAGCACGCTGACAGACAGACATACCGACGGGCGGACAGCGGAGGTTTAGTAATAGGGTTTCGTTGGTTACCCTTTGGTTACGAAACCGTAAAAACTGCGGTTGGCGACTTACCTTACAAGCGAGACAACTATGGCAAAATCCTACTTGTGAGGCAATTTATGGGTCAAGCCTATGTTCAGCAATGAAATTTTATACTACTCGCCTACTACGAAATTTTATACAACTATGGCAAAATCCTCTCTGTGAGTCAACCTATGAGTCAATTTGCACGCGGTGAAGCCCCGCTGCAGCTATATTAGTAGTATAGTTGTAACACGAATGGATCGGCTCGACCGGGGAAGGACCACGCTCTCACAGAATATCAGCGTAAAATAGCAGCTTAACACTGCTGTGTTTCGTATGGGGAGTGCAGAGAACCGGAGACCCCTTTTGCTGGAAAAGAGGCATTCCATCTTAATCCTTACGGGTAACAAAGCATCTGTATTTTGATTCGCAAACGAGGATAGATGTAGACGTCTATGGGCCACAGCAACCACTTACCATCAGGTGGACTGTGTGCTCGTTTGTTACCCTATGCTATAAAAAAGGTCTATGTTCAGCAGTGGAATTTTATAGGCTGTAATGGAATTTATGATTGTTTTTGCGAAACTTATTCAGAAAGATTTATTACATTTCGTTGCGTATATTTTTCTGAAACGTGTTTTTTTAATAACTTGCTTTACGGCTCTGGGATCTAGCCCTTCTGAGCCTAAAGTTACAATATATTATAATTATCCTTCATAGTATACTACTTCACAATATGTTGATGCATTGTGCAGCCCTGGAGATTTTGACGGCAACTTGAGCCAGCAGACAGCTGACGGTTGGCGATGGTATCTCAAGGCGACAGACAACTTATTTTGAGAATCACATCACCATCAGACACTTGTTTCACAGTTTCCACTAATAGTTCACATGTGCAGACACTTAATACACAAAATCGCACCACTTTTACATATCAAAATCCACTTCAAACCATTATTTAAACAGTAATACAGGAGCAACAAACCGCCGCTGGTCAAGTTCCCGCCAAAACTCCTCTGAAACGTGAAGACAAACAAGTGCACAGACTAACTGACAGCCGTACTAATAATTGTTAACTACATATTTTGTAAATATAACTAAACAAATGATAAAAAAAATACGCTAACTTTTTAATTTAATATACATATCTCGTTTTCAAACATCCCTTTCCTATAATTGATCTAGTGTCTAAATTGAGACATACTAAGAATTTTATATTGCAAAATCGTCACATAGCGGCATGTCAAGAGTAGAAGCACGCTCGTGCTTTGTGAGGCGTGCAAAAGAAATACAGCAACCAACAACAAGTTTTAAAAATTTAATATCTTTGCCTATAGCCAACTCAAACACATTTATCCCTGAGAATATAATATATAACATATTATGTTTCGTAGCTTTTGAATATTCTTTTCCATTCTTTTCAGTGTTCTATTCCAAACGGTAGGTTATTATGACAGCTCTTAAGCTCGGCTCTCATCTCACGGAAAATCTTACCACCTCCATATCATTATCTCGCGTTCTTCCTGATTACGTGAAAGCGTGACATTGTTAAAACGTAGCGAGCGGGAAAAATACAATAGAGGGGAGAAATGAGGTTATGAAAACACTGTATGGTGGAATTACTTAGTCTCTTCGAAAAGATTTTTTAAGAATGTCTTAATTAAATAACAGTATATCAGTTAGTAAATAGAATCAACCAACTTTAGGAAGAGAGAAAAATAAATTAATAATAACTGTTATATAAAAATATTATATAATTATATATTATAAATAATTTTATTTTTCACACGGTTCGGAAAAATCTGTCAAATTTAATTTATAAAGAAACATAGGTTTTCAATTTTTCCACATTCATTATATATGTATG